GATGCTCAACTGACTGAGCCACCCAGGTGCCCCATCCTTCTATTGTTTTTATTCAATGTCTTATTTATAGTATACAAATTCAGGTGTAATTTTACCTCCACCAAACACTTCTCCACTGAAGGAAGACAATTTACTGATGAACATAACCCATACTTTCCTGCCCATTCTGTGTTTGAATTTGTTCATGTTGGTCCCTACTCATCTCTACCTGTCCAAGCCTACCAATTCTTCATGGTCCAATTCTTTAGCAAAGCTTTCATTCATCTCCTGAGATTTTCTTTAGCTCCTTTGTACTCCTATAATTTTCATTGTAATTATCCTATAGAATGTTCATTCCTACATATTCTCATTTATACTACCAGGTCAGGAGCTCTTTCTTCATGATGGCTATAGTACCCAGTGCCTAAAACCATGCTTGGCACATAGTAGGAGCTCATCATATTTTAGCTTCACATATTATTATTCATCATCTTTGCATTACTCAGATCTCTAGAACAGTGATATTTCTTAAATATTGTAAAATCAATTTAGAATTAATGAACTGATGCCCTAAGAATAAATGAACTCTCTTAGTAATAAAGAAGAACAGGTACAGGGCTCATCTCCAGTAGGTGGTAGAAAGGTAAAGAAAAACTAATCAACAATATTAAAGAAAATGATTAGGAACTCCAAAAGGAGAGAATAGAGAAAACTTCTAGTAATTCACAGGCATATTCTCCATTTTGTAAGTATATTTGAAATATAACACCTTCTTCTGCCAGTCACATGGGACAAAGGTAGATTTTTCAAAGTGCAGATGATTCTGTCTCTTGACTCAGCCTGGCAAACACCAAAGCCAAATGGAATGGTGGTGCATTATCTAGTTGTGTTATCTAGATTTCTCCGAGCCTCCTTTTGCATAGGTAAAAGAGAACTAACTATAAGAACAAAGGGAGGGGCGCCTGGGTGGCGCAGTCGGTTAAGCGTCCGACTTCAGCCAGGTCACGATCTTGCGGTCCGTGAGTTCGAGCCCCGCGTCGGGCTCTGGGCTGATGGCTCAGAGCCTGGAGCCTGTTTCCGATTCTGTGTCTCCCTCTCTCTCTGCCCCTCCCCCGTTCATGCTCTGTCTCTCTCTGTCCCAAAAATAAATAAACGTTGAAAAAAAAAAAATTTAAGAACAAAGGGAAAAATGATGAAAACTTTTCAGAGGTTGTTTTTCTAAAATGTATTCAAGTGGATACATCAAGGAAATTTACTATATAAAATAGCTAAATGTTTTTTGCATCAAGAAAAGATTTAATTGGTATCCTATTTTTGAATCATTTTACAAGAATAACCTTCTGCCAAAGTTTTCTGTGTTATGGCTTTTTGATGTGAGTAGCATTTCCTTTGAACTTTTGTCGTTTTTAGTACAGCCAATTCAACTGGCTTCTTTAAAGTGCTGTTTTTGGACAAATACAAGGGGAAATTAATCATAGTGCCCAAGTGATAGCCTGGGTATACTATTTCATTATTTTCAGTTTAGTCTGGAAAATATGTAACCAGTTTTTCACCCAGAGAGTAAAAATGTTCCAATTTATTAGAAAGTACTTGTTATTGGAAGTAGTCAGTGAGAGAAGAGTAATAATGGAAACCATCCCCAGCTACTTCTATGCAGGCAATATTGGCCAGCTATTGTGCTGAAATGACAGGCTTGCATCTGCTAAGGTGGGGCTTGAAAAGCCTGGAAGATGTACCTCTCCAAAACATGGGTCATGGCATCACCAGTTCTAGATAAGACTCCTTAAAATGCCAAAATCCCTGAAAAGGGCAACTCCATTTCTAATACACATCAAGAGTGCACTGCAAGAGTTCACTGGATACCTGGACTGGCAAAGAAAACAGCAAATTTGCAAATTTTTCAAAGAGCCAATGCTAACAATAAAGGTCATCCTGTTTTAATGTTGGCTAAACAAATTCCCATAGATCACACAACAGATTCCAAAGACGGCAGACCACTGGTACCAGAAAACACACCTAATTGTTTATAATGTCCAAAACCCTGGATATCAAGATGGAGAGAATACAAGAGATGAATACAAGAGTGAATTGCCATCTCCTCCTTGTCCCCAAGTCACTTCCAAGGTACTTCTCCTAAAGGCAGACTTGATCTTGGTCTATCTCCCTAATGTTACAAGCCCCTTTTTTCTGTGTGTCACTCTACTTCTTTTGACAAATAGTTCCAGTCTCTCCAAGGCTAAGCTGCTGCACAGCCCTCCTAGTGAATGTGAAGCCTCCCAAAGTTGTGTAGGGCCCAGACCATGGCCATGTGGCACCCTTGCCCTTTGCCATTTTTCTCAAGATCCAGATCACACCAAACTTCAAGGCTCAGATCATACTCTACCACCTGGATGTGAAAGAAACCATCCTCAATTTCTCTTACATAAAAAATGGTTTGGGCCCTGGAGTTCACACTGGAAGACTACTTGAAAGAAATTCTCAAGATGAAGAATAAATATAAAGGTCTTGTATCTTACCCTTGAACATCCCCAAGTGTAAATAATATAATGAGAGGAAGATTGAACTGAGAGACAAGGAATTTGGAAATAAGCAAATGTTAACTAAATTGCTATGCAACTTTGAGAAAGTCACATAATTTGTCAGAGTATCAGTTTCACATTTTTAATATAAATGAGGTAAATAGACTCCTCAAAGGTGCCTATTGGCCCCAATATCTTATATAATCTTGGAACAGTAGCTCCAGCCATTCCATAAAGGGAGAGTAACGGGTGGCCTTTTGAAGGTCTGGAAGACAACTCGCTAAATGTCCAAGCTGAATGGCATAGAGGCCTGAGCTGAAGGTAACTTACCTCTCAAGGCATATCCCTGCCTCTATTCACAGCACCAGAACTTTACATAGATTTTTTTCTTATCTCTAGTCTGGCAAACCTGGCACACAGCTGCCACATTTGCACCAGCCCGCTCATATTTGCTAATGCCAACTGCCTTCCACTCTTAGCTACAGCACACACGCCCTCTCACATGACAATGCTAATAAAGGACAGGTTTCTGCTACAAGAACATAGATCTACAGCTCTAAATACAGGAACACTCTCATTTTAAACAAACCTAATATTTCAAAATCTGCATTTACAAGTACATACACTTACATATATATGTGTGTGCATAGAAATATATAGGGGGATAGATTATTTGCTTTGCAAATGAATTCACCATGCAATTTCTTAAAATACCAGGTCCTTCATTTCTCTTTTCTTTCACTGCCTCCTCCACATATATCTTACACTTTTTACTTATTTCTTGCTGTTCAGGAATATATCTATTATGTAAGGTAAAGTATCCAGTATTTATAAAGTTAAATGGAGAGCAAAATGCATTTCTTTGGCACCTTCTGGCTAATTTCCTTAATGTTCTGGGTATGTGGGCTTATATTTTGCATGCTTAGGCTCTGAAACCATATCTGGCAACACCATGAGTATAAAAGCCACAGGAATCTTAAATACCTTCCAGAGTCCACTATAACAGCCTTCTATAGAAATTAGAATCTGGAAGAGCCACAGGTTTCAAACAAGTCACCATGCTTGGCAAGAAGGGAGCTGATGACATTGCATTGTGAAAATTTCCAAGACAACTATTGTACCTTTCACTCAGGTCAATATCTGTCGATCGAGGGCAGCTTAAAAAGTTAGACTAATATATTCTGCCTCCTTACACAATAAATGTTAATAGACAAAACAATCATCTTTCTGGGAGTGGTGGAGCTATTTCTAATAATGGTGGTATTCTGGAAAATCTCATCTTTCCCGGTGAAATGTAAATGTGATTTTTCTCAGCCCATAAATGATAAGTTCAATTGTGTTTGTTTCTTTGTTTAAAATTTGAGTTTTGTATGTTTTTTATTTCTCTTTTCCCCAGGGGTTTCCTTATCTGTGTGCACACACAGATGAGAACAGGAACAGATAGGCTAGCCCACCCTAGTTTAGGGTAAGTTGCAAATAATATCCCTGATGCAAATAGCACCAAACAAAGGTTTCATCTCATGCAATTGTTAGCATTCCCCTCAAGGCTCATACAGGCTAAGAGTCTAAAAAAAAACGAAAAGGAAAACAGCAACTTCACTCTTAAGTCATTTTCTCCTCCAAAAAATAAAAAAGTTTTTCCCCCCATTTTCAGAAACACAACTGTCCAGAGCTCAGAAACTCAAAAGAATCCTAACTCTCTCTTGGATCCCTAAAAGCATACATTTAAGGGGGACCTGGTTTATGGCAGCTACAGAAGCGTGGTGAGGATGGCAGTGGAAAGAGCACTGGACCAGAATCAGGAGGACTAAGATGAGATCTGGACAAACCATTAACCCTTCTGGGCCTCAACTTCCTCCTCATAAAATATAGATAATAATACCCACATTTTTGTTGAAATCAAATGAGATAATAGACTTTAAAGCGCTTTGTGAAAATATTACATGTTCACAATACCACGCTCTGCTCATTTGTGTGCACGGTGTAGCAAATTAAACCTGAAAGTTACGAAAAAATAAAAAAGAGTAAGGCTGGTTTAAACAAAGCTTTTTCTTTCACTCTCTTTCTCCTTCTCCCTTTGCCTGTATCTCTTTATCTCCCTTTTAATCTGCCTTTTAGAAAAAAGCAAAAGTAATCATTGATCTAAACTCCGCCCTCTAATAATCATGACTTTTCTATAGTTTTCAACCACAGTCAATGGCTAAATTAGATAACCTCACTGGTTACTAAGGACAGGATCCTGTGTTCATCATATTATGAAGAAATTGTCTGCTGCTAGAGAAGCTGGAAGTTGGAATCGACATCTATTCATTGATTCATTCATTCGTTCATTCCACAAATATTTATTTGGTAAAAACTTGTGGCAGGGATTTTGAAATTAATAAGAAAAACATAGCCCCTTTCCCTACGAAGTTCACAGTCCAGTGAGGGAGAGGGATTCATAGTCTCTCACTTTTATAGCTTAGGAACTAGAGACTCATAGTTGAGAAAATTTGACTCTACCTGCAACTCTCCTTCCATTATACTGAGTAGCTGTATAAGGTCTTCTTTGGATAACTCCAAGGATTTCTTATTCTTTCGCTCGCTTTCTCCAGATGGTTTTAGGTGTCGTTTGACAGTTCCTGAGGCCATGACATCATCCTCCTTTCTGTTTGATTTATTCTTCTTTTTTGCATCTTCTGAGAAACTTTTATCATCAGCATTGCTGATGATAGAGGACTTGGGGCAGGAGAGATGCCCATTGGATGAACTTTCACCACCCTGGTTTCGGGATCTCATTCCCACCTACAGCACATGAAAAAAGAGAAGATGTTTTTACTACCAGTGAAATTATTTTTGTCTAACTACTTAGAAAATTTTAGCAGCTTCATAACATCACTAATAAGTAAAAACCAAAAGATCAGTCCCAGTTAGCTTCCTTATAGCTTTAAAGAATGTCATTAAAATCATCAGGAAAAGGCTTTGATAGTCTTCAGGAAAAAGTGAAAATGTGATTCTAACCTGACAAACATCTCAAGCCAAGCAGTTAAGGTCAACATCAAGAGTGCTAAGTCATATTGATAGTATATATCTTTGATATGATGGATAAAAATGGTAATTTACCATTGTGGTGTTCCTCCCCAGAAACATTACCCAAGTCAATGAGAAAAACATCAGGCAGACCCCAATTGAAAGACATTCTACAAAACTGCTGAGCAGTAATCTTTAAAACGATCAAGGTCCTCAAAAACACAGCAAGTCTGGGGTACCTGGCTGTCTCAGTTGGTAGAGCATGCAACTCTTGATAGGGTCGTGAGTCGAGCCCCACATAGGGTATGGAGCCTACTTTAAAAAAATACACACACACAGAGAAAATCTGAAAAACTGTCACAGCCAACAGAAACCTAAGGACACATGACAGCTAAATGCAATATGGCACCCTAGGTGGGACTCTGGAACAGAAAAAAGACATTATCAAGAAAAACTGAGGAAAATGAATAAAGCATGGGCTTTAGTCAATAATAACGTATCAAAAAATAATAATGTATCAATATTGGTTCATAAATTGTAATAAATGTACCATACTAGTGTAAGATGTTAACTACAGAGAAAACTGGGTGTGGGATATATTGGAACCCTCAGTATTATGTTTGCAATAGTTCTCTGAATCAAAAGGTGTTATAAAATAAAACATGAATTTTTAAAAAAGTGATTCTATGGCTAAAATTAACGGCACAGGCAACAACAGATGTTATTATACCATATGTTAACTAACTTGGATTTATATATTAAAAATATATAAGTAAATAGATAGATAGATAGATAGATAGATAGATAGATAGATAGATTGTGGTTTGGGGGGAAAATAAAATAAAATAAAAAGTGATTCTAAATTAAGTCTATCAGAAAATTCAAACATCAAACCCTGCCAGGAACCAGCTGGATGTCACAATGTACAGAAAAATCCACATGGGGTGGAGGGAACTTAAAATGGAGAGAGGAAAAGGGAAATTCAAAGGGAAGAGGGTGGTGTTGTTTTTAGTGATATGGAATTTTGTTTTTCCATAACCTCTTTTTTAAAATCAGGGGTTTGTTTTGTTCTTTTTTGTGCCATTTATAGTAATAAGAATAAGACACAAAGAATTGGAGAAAACAGATCAATTTCAAAATAAAAAAATAAATTTTTTTAGGTAAAATAAAGAAAAAAGATAAAGCAGCAGGTAACTACTCCCGTGGGTAGCACATTTGGGTGTTTCCATTATGAATGCTTTCCAGATTCTCTGTCAGTCTCTGAGCAAAAGAACTTGACCGACAGGTATGTTACAAACAAACAAAATGAACTCAAAGCCTAGGACTCAAAGTGCAGGAAAGAGAGCTCTAATATCCAGGGGGCTGTACTACAAAATTTGCCTAAACCCTCAAATATAGTAGCTTAGCACATGCACTTATTTAAAACTCATAGTATAAATAGTCCTTCCCTTAAACAGCTAAGCAGCAGGATTTTCATTACTCATTCCAGATAAAATAGAGACCTGTTTTCTGAAAGTTAATTTCCTTTATGAACCCAACCATACTTAAGAAACCAAGGAAAGCTTTTCAAAACACTAGTTTATAATAGAAAAATAAATATAGTGTGATGTTTCCTTTCAGATAGTGCATATTCAATTCTCCCAACAAATCTTGAAATCTACATTCATGCTCCTTTTTTGAACTGAACTCTTATAACCAAATGGACCCTGGTGTGTGTGTGTGTGTGTGTGTGTGTGTGTGTGTGTGTGTGTGTACTTTCTAAAGCACCCTGAATTTGAACAATATAAACTGAAGAAATGGTTCTTAACACTGGCACCCTACTTTCTGATTCACTCAGTGATTGGTTCTTGAAATTTTAGAGCATCTTTTGTGTTTCCTGGTGAAGAAAGAATAGATGTCTCTTTGTAATGGAAGCCAGAGCACTTCGGCGCAGACCTACTAGCTTCACCACAGTTTGTGGGCAGAGAGGACTGACTTAATCTCCCAGCCAAAAAAAAGAAGAGAGAGAGAGATAATGAATAGAAAGTTTTGAAGGGGAACAAAATACGCTTCTTTGGCATATCAATTATTTAAGAAATGTTAGACACAGGTGAAGCTCTGAAAACTGAGAAGTTACCCTTTTGTAAGAAACATTAAATTGATAAGGGAAATCTCCATTTGTAAGGGTGTCTCCCTGTCTGTACCAAGAAGAGAAGAATGACTAAATTCCTAGAAAATCTTCTCAGTAGAGAAAGTAAGGACTTAAATCTGCACACTTTACCCTTATTCACAGTGTTTTTCCTGGTAACCTCCCAGGAGGTAACCTCTCAACCCCAAATCTTCTTTTGTCTTTAGCTGATGACATATTAAGGTGATGGCTTGAGACTTTCTCTCCCATGTATAGAAAAGGTATACATGTTACTAAACTTCTGTTTGTTTTTTTCCCCACTAATTTGTCTTTTTGTTATAGGAGTATATCAGCCAAGAACCTAAAAGCGTAGAGGGAAAATTGCCCAACAATTGCAAATTTAAGTTTTTACCTGCTATACAACATAACTAAGACACATGGGCTTCCCAAACTAAATTGTGACTCCCTACAACTCTATACCACATGTGAATTTTTCTCTATAAAATCTTAAGGCTCTTTGGGATGGTGCATCCGATATTGATTTGACAATGTCAATTTAGATGATGCATTAATAAAAAATTCCAGACAATAGCTCCCAAAGCACAGGTAGTAAGGTGGTGATGTTTTAAATTTTATCATACATGGCCTTAACCATACACAGCATTTATATTTGACTGTAGCATGTGTTGGTGTCTTATTTCCCTGGACTTTTTTATATCTTTTGTAGGATGTACAGCATTTGGGTATTCCCAAATTAGGACAAATGCCTAATTATCTATGTTATATGCATTTACTCAACCATATTTACAAATATACAGAAAGTGACCTTTACTTATTAAAACTATCTTTATATTTAGTATTTTCTAAAAAATTTCAGTCTGACACATTTTGAAATAAACTATATTGTAGTATTAATAGATTTTACAGAATTAATGGAATTATATTCATTAATTTTGATTATAGAAATAATCAGTTACAGAACTTACTACTTTTACACAAAAGCCACATATTTTAGAATTATCTAATTATTTTATATCACTAATCAGCTCAAAATCTTGAGTTACCTATTCTCTTCCATATTATTTCACTTTGATTAAAAATAAAAATCTCACGTGCTAGACCACGATGTTAATTCTGTATTAGCAAATATTTTTCCTCTGTGATACTGAAATTTCACTTTAATTGCTTTTCCTTTGATATGTGCACATGGATTTTAGCCCTTTCTTAGTGATCCAAATAGGGTCTACTGTTTTTATCTCCACAACAAAGTCAGTAGTCAGCACCTATCCTATCTCAAGAATGTAAAATAACTCAGAGATAAAAAACTAGAAATGTTTTAGGAAGGAAGTAGACACCATATACAAAAGAGAAAAACATAATCTATCAATAGTATAACCAAGTCTGCCATCAATAATGTTCACTTTGTTTATTTTACTTATTTATTTTTAAATTTTTTTACACATTTATTTATTTTTGAGAGACATAGTGAGACAGAGAACGAGCAGGGGAGGGACAGAGAGAGAAGGATACACAGAATTCAAAGCAGGCTCCAGGCTCTGAGCTGTCAGCACAGAGCCCGATGCAGAGCTTGAACCCACGAACTGTGAGATCATGACCTCAGCCGAAGTCGGACACTTAACCGACTGAGCCACCCAGGCACCCCACTTATTTATTTTTAAAGTTTACTTATTTTTTTTAGTAATCTCTACACCTAATGTGGGGCTTGAACTCATGACCCCAAGATCAAGAGTTTCATCCTCTTCCAATTGAGCCAGCCAGGCACCCCAATAATGTCCACTTTAAACTAGTTTATTTTGTAGGTAGAAAATGTCAAGACAATAATGACTTCCATGTATCACATTTAGTGACAGTCATGCTCTTCCTTATTCTAACAGCTCTCACATATGTTTAAGTGCTACACAGTGTGCTAAGCATTTTACATATGGCATTTCATTTAGATTAACATTCACATAAACCCTGGGTTTATAAACCCTGAGGTAGGTGTTATTATTCTCAGTTTTATAGATATGCCACTGAGGTTGAAAGAGATTAAATATCTTTTTTCTGGATCACTCAACTACTCTTAGTGAATAGAAGAGCTGGGATTTGAACCCAGGTCTTATTCTATATACCTACTCACTATATGGCTTTCCTCCAAGTGCTTAAACACACGCAAATTTGTAGGCGTCAGGGAATGCCCTGTAAATCAGATGATCCAGAAAAATTTTCAAATGCTTACTAAGGTAATGCTTTTCACTTCACATTATAGAGTTGGAGAAATCCATTCATCTTCCACAGACACTCATGCAAAACTCACACCAGCAATTGAAATTAGTTTGCTAAGCGAAAACACTTTTGCTAAAATCATAAACTGCTGCAGAACTTGTGAAATGATGAATCATTTTTAAACCTTCCCAAGAAGCAACCTGGCTAAATATTAAGGATACAGGTTATGAAAACAGGATGTGAAGTCTGAACAGGGATCATTTGTGTTAAAAGCCCCGGAGCCGAACAATAGTAAACATTTAATCAGAATTGGCCAAATCCTGCCCATTGTGTTTACAGAAATATCAGGTAGGTAACAGAAAAGGCATCTGGCACGCTGTAGGCTCTCAATAGTTGGTTGAATGGCTGCCAGTTTGGGACATATAGACAACAAAAT